AAAGCACACAAATCAATACAATTGAAAACACAGTTATGAACTAGCTCTAAGGTACACCTCACTTTAAGTTTTTCCCCAGCAGAGTCGCTAGTTCTGTGATCGGTGGATCTGGAACTGACTGTTTAACGCTGGTTCGCGAAATGTCGCGGAAGCAAGAGTCGCCACCGTCTTTTATTTTCTCCAAATGGAAAGGACAAAAGCACAGAAAAATTCCTTATAGAGATTGCTCTCGGTTCGGGAGGTAGATTATAGAAAGGGAAGGTGTTAGCACCCTTTCTATCCATGGTTATCCATGGGCTCTTAGATACTTGCTCATTTGTGTTTTCAAAAATGGTTTGTTTGCTTTTCAACTGTGGGTTTAAAAAGTTTCTTTGAAAATTCCAGTTCGCCTCTTGTATCAGTCCTCAAGAGTGTTTGAAAAAAAGCTTTCGAAAGCAATTTTTCAAACACTCTTGAGGACTAATACAAGAGGCGAACTGGAATTTTCAAAGAAACTTTTTAAACCCACAGTTGAAAAGCAAACAAACCATTTTTGAAAACACAAATGAGCAAGTATCTAAGAGCCCATGGATAACCATGGATAGAAAGGGTGCTAACACCTTCCCTTTCTATAATCTACCTCCCGAACCGAGAGCAATCTCTATAAGGAATTTTTCTGTGCTTTTGTCCTTTCCATTTGGAGAAAATAAAAGACGGTGGCGACTCTTGATTCCGCGACATTTCGCGAACCAGCGTTAAACAGTCAGTTCCAGATCCACCGATCACAGTTACATTTTACCAGATTCTGATATTTCAGAAGTTGTAAACTTTCTGGAATTATAGTAAGTTTGTTGTTAACCAACTTGTTTAAAAGTTTGTGAACCTTCTAAAGACATGTTCAAAAAACATAGTCTAAGACATGGTCTAAGACATGTTCGGAAGACATGGTCTGAAGACATGGTCAAAAAGACATGGTCTTAAGACATGGTCTAAAAAGACATGTTCAAAAGACATGGTCAGTAAAAAAGTGGTTCAAGTGCCGAACTTTTGATGACAAGATATTGTGCACCTTCTGGTGGCACGATTCTAGTTTTTGTAAGAACCATTATATTAGTTATAATGTTTGATTTGAGTCATCAAGACAATGACTAAACATGTTATGATTCCTCATATTGTTCTGAAATCAATCCAGGTTCAGAGATGAAGACCAGGTATTTCTAGTCAGACTCTGATGAGACATCAATGGAGAGGTATTCCTTCTCTATGGTACTTTGTGTACTTCAAAATTCATTTTTTGAGTCTTGGGCTCAGGGTGAGACTCTGAACAAGCTTTAAGGAATTTTTTAGTATTAACAGATTCATGGGGAGCTGGTTAGCTTTACTGGATTTGTATTCCATGGTGATTACCCTATATGAATTATTCTATGAAAATACATGGTTTTGTCATCATAAAAAAGGGGGGATTGTAAGAACAAAGTTGGTTCTATATTTGGCTGTATGTTTTGATGATAACTTTACATGTTATCTTTGAGAACAATTGTGTACTCTAACGGTTTCTGTCTAGTGTGTCACTTTTGCTATACAGGTTATGACTCTTGTAAGAAGGTGTATAACGTCATCAGGTTCTGAACTCAACACTCTGGAAGAATACCTTTAATGTGATACAAGTTAAGTCTAGATTAAGGAATGCGTCTTATGAAACGGTTATAAGGAACGTTAGTAAAAGTGATTATGATCGTGACTTATTCAAGGAAGCTTTGAAGGCCTTCTAAAGCTTTACTTCTGATGTTCCAAGTTCTGAAGATGCTGAAGACAAGGTTCTTTTGAACGAGTTCTGAAGATCTGAAGACATTCTTCTAAATACCAAGTGTTGAAGACTGAGAATGAAAGAGTTCCCTGAACAAGCCTTGTAAGATTCTAGAAGATACATAGTTCTGATCCTTATACAACATGCTTCATCAACAAACATATTAGAAGCCTCTAAAGACATAGAAGATGTAGATTAAGACTAAGATATTGCGTGTGATGGTGAGTATAAAAGTGAAAAAGTACATTATGACCTCTACTCTGTAGAGTGGTGCAAGGACATACTTTCTTGTACTATTGTCTACCAGTCTCACCATTGAATATTGGGAACAATACAACTATATTTGTGTTTCCTATTCTACCCTCCAACTGACCTCTTATTTTCAGCTATAAAATAAGTACATGGAAGAATTTTAAATCAACGAATCAGTTCTACAAAACTACACAAAACTCTGTAGAGAAATATTTTGTATAGTTTTGTAAATAAGCAAGGAGATTTTGTTCGTATCTTGCTATCAACACTTCTGTGTTGTTGTACTTAAACATTGTGTAATTTGCTTGTGTAGAAGTATCTTTGTGTACACATCTTTGTAATCAATTGTGGTTGATAGGTTCCTTGAGAGACTTTGTGTAGTTTGGATTCTCAAGAAGACTTTAGTTGCGGTTATAGTGGTTTACAATAAGGATCAACAAACTTATTGAGGTTTCTAATAGAGTTTATCAGACTTATTGTGGTTGTCTATAATCTGGTTGAATATAGTGGATTAAGTCCTTGTGTTTAAGGCAAGACACCTTGCGGGATGGACTGAAGTAACTTAGTTAAAAGTGAACCAGGATAAAAATAATTATGTTCTTCTATTTTTATTCACTTGTTATGCTTGTGCTTTGTTTTGCAAAAAGATTATATTTGGTGCAACCCAATTTAAACCCCCATTTCTTGTGTTTCTCTCACCTTCAGAAGACACTAGCAGCACCTTATGCATGCCAGGCAGCTAAGGCACCTCACGGGTTTGAAGGAGGCCCATCAGACTTATCACTACTGCCTCTTTACTCGGACCAGACTACCAGACATATCTAGGACGAAGAGGTAAAATTTAGTTTGATTCATTATTTTGAACCTATATTTATTTTAATATTAAATTATGTTTTTTAGATTAATTCAGATTAAATTATGTATGCAGGACTATGATCCACTAAAATTCATCAATCATGGGAAGAATATTTCTGGCCTGCCTCAGCTTAATGAGTCGTGGTTTCATGAATCTTTGTAGTTATCTGGGATGCAAGACTTGTGAAAGACCGATTATGTTATTGTTAACCATGGTATGCTTAATGCATTATTAGAGAGATATCACATGGATTTTATCTACCACATAGTGAGATGTCTATCATACTGGACAATGTCTCATGTCAGCTGCATCTTTCGATTAGAGGAAAACTTTTAGGTCATGAGACGGTTACTAGAGATGAGACACTAGAGTTGATGGTAGATTATATGGAAGTTGACCTAGAGGCTTCCATGGGGGAAATTGAATTCACCCTAGGGTCTCATACTAGGTTTAGCTTCTTAAATAATGTGTATACAAATGAGATACTAAGAGAACAATAAGTTATTTGTGATAACGAGCAGGTAGGGAAGCATATAACATATTCTATGAGAGAATACCTGTTGTATTTGGTTGACACTTCCATTTTTGTGGACAAGAGTTCCACTTATATAGATGTCATCTACATGCGGTACTTCGATGACTTTGAGAGGATCCATGAGTACAACTAGGGGGTCGCTTGTTTGGTCTACTTCTACTCTAAGTTATCTAAAAGTTGTATGTATTTTCAAAATAAACTTGGATTTAGGTCCATGCATTTTCAAAAAGCTTTTCTTAATCAAACTTTAATAAACTTACCCATTCTTCGACATCTTTCTCAAGACTAAAAGTCAATTAACCTCATTCAAACTATTTTGTCACTTTGGATTTTTACTTTAAAATTTTTTCTCAAAAGATTAGACTCTTGTTGATTCTTGTAGTGATGCGAGCTACTATACTTCTACGATATGTAGTAAAGTAAGATATTTTTCACTTGGGTGTTGAGTGAGGCTTTGTTGATTTTAAAATCCAAGTTATATCCTCCACTTTGAGATGATGCAAATTCTCCTTTCTCATTGTCGTGGGTAGTAAATATGTTTTTCACTCGGATATGACGATGATATCTCTTATCATAAGATTAACTGACACATGTGTGTTTTAATATTTTTGAGGTGAACTATGAGTATCTTGGTCCCCTATTGCACGGAAGTTGGTACGTAGGCACTAAATGTCTAATACATGTAAATACATTCTACGTTACACCTTTTTTTAAATAAAAATTGAGTGTAAATAGGTTCTACGTTACACCCTTTTTTATTAAAAATCCGGTGCAAATATGTTCTTAGTTACACCCTATTTTAATAAAATCCGGGTGTACATTCGTTCTTATTTACACTCTATTTTGATAAAAAAATTAGGTGTAAATAAGTTCATAGTTACATTCTATTTTAATAAAATATCAGGTGTAAATATATGCTAATTTACACCCTTGTTAATAAAAATCGGGTGTAATTATATCATTTTTTAATATAATTTTACACTTTTTTTAATAACAATCGGGTGTAATTACACTCTTTTTAAATATAATTTTACATCTTTTTTTAATATAATTTACATACTTTATGAATAAACAAATTATATTATATTTAATTCCATTTACACTACATTACACCCTATTTTAGTTATCACATTTTTTCATATTTCATGTACTAAGAAGTCATAATATTTCAAATACTATAAATCATGCACATAAAAATCATATTTCACGTACTAAATCATAATATTTTTAATATTTACCAAAAAATATACAAAATCATATTTTTATTCTAAGAAGTCATAATATTAACATCAAAATATTCAACCAATCAACTCATAATATTTTATGTCACTTTATTCATATATATGTTTTCTTCTTCTTTCGCTTTTGTTTTGACAAAATTTCTATGTCCTTATCTTCTTCAACCATTTGCATCCGGTCTTGTAGTAGGCTGCAGCAAGAGATGAAGAGTTACAAATGATGTTTGAGTGATGAATCAAACAATATAGAATGGTTTGTATCTGCTATGTAGCGATAAAGCTCCCCGTTACGCGCTCTATTTGTTTGGGCAGTAATCAACCGAAAATCACCATTCAAACAAGGAAAGGTATTGCACCAGAGGATCCAATTATTGGTTTGTTAGAATCCAAAGCAATCAATCCAAGGAAATTCGCAACAACCGCCTCAGAAACCGATGAACCAACAACACAAGGCGATTCAATTAGCTCCAGCATCTTATGAACAGCACCAACTTTTACAACTGCTGCCTTATTTCTGTAACAGATCAAACACAAAATTGCAGAATTAGAAATGTATGAAACCATCAAATTGTTAACAAGGTAAATTCATGATTGCAGAAATTTACAAGATCATAGTTTCAAATTTGCAATCACATTCTCCGAGAGAAAGAGGAAAAAACTCACACATAGTTTTTGTTATCAGTTAGTTAATAAAATCTCTAAATCATCTTATCCCTTTGTAATCCCAGATTTTTCTCACTTTCCCTTTGTATGAAACATTATGTATCAAACATTTCAGTTCTATTTCAGAGACTATATTTTTTTGTAAGCCAGATAACAAAAGAAAACCTTTTTTACAATTTACTATGAATACAATTTACTTGAAATTAAATTTTGAGCAGCACATTCAATGACATATACTAAAGTTTGAAAACATGATTTCATTGGGAATTATAGGTTGTATGCAAATGTCAGACTTTGAATGAAGAGTTGCAATTATAGGTTGTTTTCCGAAAACATGTTTCTTGTACAATATACTTTGATAGATTTAAGCATATTGGGGGTGAATTGAGAAACTGTCCAAATAAATGCTTAGAATAAGCAATGTCCCAAATGAACATTCTAAGCACTGTAATTATGCATGCAGTATGCCATTGCTTACACTCTGCCTCTTTATTGTAAATCAATATATCAGTATGTAAAAAAATACAGACACCCAAACATCACATTAACAAAGTCAAGAAACAGTTGCTAAATGTTACATTGCTAATCCAAAATTCCAGATTACAGAATAGCTGTACTCATAACTCACCAATAATTGTATACCAAGATCCATTGGGTTTCTTTTAACAGAAACGAATATATGTATAGAATTTATTTATTTTTCCTTATTGAATGATGACTATTACCCAGTAAATAGAAGAGGACCCAAAAAGAGATATATTATAACAGACTTGAGCCAAGGGTAGATTCATGTGATTATTCATAAATATAATAAAACTGTTGACTTTCATCTAAAGTACCTACAAGGCATTTCTCCAGTAAGAATTCGGCGTTGACCCAAGCATGGTATTTATCTGTCAAAAGAATTAAGGGCAGCAGCGACGACCCTGTTCGCAGCCATTCATATACAGAGCATAGCAATTACGGTTTAAGATGACATACAAATAGATCATGTGAATTGATATAATTCAATGGTAGTTACACAGTTAACAGAGGGTGAACAAATAGATCATGTAATGGACTAAATCAATGTCATTCTAACCAACTCCCAAGCTGCAACATCTATATAGGGAACACTAATCTTCTATCAACCTTGGATTCATTCACAATCTTCTATCACTCTAATCCCTCTCCAATACACTCACCCTTCATCTCTCATCTTCATTCTTCCAACCATCATCAACAACTCACAACAATCCTCACCTTCATCTCTGTACCTCCCACCATCATCATCATCATCATCTTCACCTCAACCTCATCTCACTTTTATCAATCTCCATGCAACCCCTCACTCTCCTCTACCCTTTATTCAACAATAACAACGATATGGAAATAACAATTCACAACAGGAAACTCAATAAGAAACTCGAAAGAAAACAGAAGGGGTAGAAGAAAACAGAAGCGAAAAAGCAAAAGAATATCGGTTCAGAACTTACTTGTTTATATAAAAAACGAGACTTCAAAACTAGACTTTATTTACGAATTTACCATGTATTTGTTATTTACACCTGGATATAAATTTAAAAATTGTGACTTGTAATTCTGTTTAATATTATTTTGAATTATATTGCTGCAGCGCGTTTCTTATTTACATCTATTTTTATAAAATATAGAGTGTAAATTATCACGTACTAAAATTTAAAATAACATTTTATTTATAAAATATTTTTATTTACATTTATTTTTATAAAATATACGGTATAAATGATCACCTACTAATATTTAAAATAACACTTTATTTATAAAGTTGCCAGTATTTTTCCTTTATTTACACCTATTTTTAGATTTTTACACTAGCGAAGACATTTTTTCGGATTAGTACCAAACACAAACCCATACCTCACGGAACAATCACATAGACGCACGCAACAATAATAATAAAGTCATTTGAACAACATTCACGACAAATCACAAATGAAATGCAACAAATTTAGTCATTGAAAATCAACATATAATAACATCCATATTAACAACATTACCAAGATAATAATATATGTTACATTAACCTATCCAAAATATCAAAACATAAACACCATTGTTCTATGGAACAACAACTATCTCTCCCAAATCCATCTCCATTGTTGGAACAATCAACCAATCATCACAACAACCAACATCAATAGCATCCACAAATTTCGATTCAAAGCTAGTAGCCCCTTTAGAATGTTCCATCACAACCTCATTCTTTTCAATGGTCTTTTTTCCATCTAAACCTTCAAGAAACCCAATCCACCAAGTATACAAAGAACCTTGGTTGTTCTCTCCCATCTCTGATCCCACAGAAGCTTCAATGAATGATGATGATGATGAAGATGGTGGTGGATCAGCCAATACAGAAGGTTCAGATGAAGACCATGTAGGTCCTGGCAAAGGCACAGTCTCCAATAAATAGTAACAACATTTGGTTTCTGAAAACATTGACATGTTACCTTTCAATGCATGTTCTCGTTGTTGTTCAAACGTTGGTGATGATGACCTATGATGTTGATGAGTGGCTCTTTTCCTTGAAGTTTCCATTGAACTTTTTTCTTCAAACAGTTCAATAAATTTGGGAGTTGGGAATAGGAAAGAGTGGTGTGAACAAATATAAATAAAAAAGGGTCAGAGACAGCAGTGTATAACACTGACACGTAAGTGTGAACGTAAATGACACATCAAGAAAAAATCTACGTGTCAGCAAAATCTATGGTTTATTAGGTACTTTTTTCTGTACTATGCCTTTAAATTCGAATTGATCATGCATAGTCCACATTGTTTTAAGATATTAAATACACTCTTGCTGATTTTATAACCATAAAAATCAAAGTATGACAAAAGCAAAAACTATTTAATGTTTCAATATTGAAGTAACAAATGTACGTTTATACCAGTGAATTATACATGTCTGATATCTTTTTTATTGAGGGTTACAGTGTTCAGAGAAGCAGAGCACGTAGAAAACTAATTAATCCAACGATTCCCATTTTTCATAACTAAAACACCTATTTGTCCCTTAAAATGGTACTAAGTTCTAAGACTACTTGTAATAAGGGTGTTGAATAAATTTTTCAATAGTTGAATTATTTTAATAGATTGTTGAATAAGGTGTTGAATGTGACATAGATTAATTTGTGTTGAAAATATTTAATATGTTAAATGAGAAATGAGTAGGAGTCGCTTATAATATTTTGCAAAATATAATTAATTGTTGTGATCGTTTATATTTTTATCTTTATTTGGAGTCAATTATTTTATAGAAAATTAATTTATTATTTATTTTTATTTTCACTAAAATTCATCTTTTTTTTTTGTCTATAAATAGAGCCTTGGTTCATTTGATTTGGACAAAGAAAAAAAATCTATTTTTTCTCTCTAATTTTTCTATTTAGCCTCCAATAAATTATTGTTTGTAGATCTAAACATTTTTTTAGTAAAATGAATCCCAACAATAACCCTCTTAACACTGAAAATTCTACTAATTAAAATAAGTTTTTAAATTAAAAATAAATAAAATAAATTATTTAACTCTTAATTATTTTAATTTAATTTCAATTGATAATTATTATTAATATATAATCAAAAAACAAAAACATAAAAAAGAAAATAAAAATATGAAATAAAAGTGTTGGGGTAAGGTGTTGAATTTTATTAAACAAAAACATTGTAGTGAGTAAAAGTTGAATGAGTGTTAAATTATTAGGTGGAGGAGAGAGAAGATGACGTGGAGTGTAAAAAATGAGAAAAATTGGTGTTGAATAATTTTGCTATTGTAGAAGCATTTACACTTCCAAAATTTCTAAATAGATAAAAATCAAATTACAACTAGAGATGTCAAGTTACATCCGATGATGCAAATTGATTGCATCAGGTCGAGGCCTTAAAGATAAGAATTTTTCTCGCAAGACTGGAATGTAAAACAAAGTTCTTTGAAAGTATCTCGAAGAAGGGACAACGAACATATCTTTAAAAATATTATTCTAGACTAATTATAAACTTAGTTGCGTTCGATCAATTCGAACTCTACTCCAATTGTAGTTTATCGATTCTCCATATCTTCAGTTATCTGTATCTCTGACCTTTTTAATCTTTGAAAATGGTTAAATTTAGAGCTATTCGTTCTACCACTATGCGCGAAGCCTCTCTAGCTACTGCTGGCGTAGCACTGACAACTGTCAATCAACCAAACACCACTTCTACTCTTGGCAAAATGAATTTCAGTATTGACATTCCTCAACGTCTAGATCTAATCCTTCGTCCTCCAAGAACAAGAATTGTCCAAGCTCCACCGCTTAGAGTTTCAATTCCTCCTCTTGGTGGGTCACTTGTGATATCACATGATTTTGTCATCCTTTAAGCAAACCTATGCGCTCAAGGCGCGAACAAGTTTCTCAATTATATCTACAACATTGTTCATCAACATAAATCCAAGCTGATAGAGAAAAGGTTCCTTCGCTTATAAAAAAGCCTCAACTGGGAGCAAGCTTAGTCCATGAGGTTGTGTCTAGAAGAGATTGTTCCATCATATCGGAGTCGTCCTCAGGAAAGGGAAGTGTTGTACCCCAAAATTTTCCCTCTCTTTTCTCAAAGATTCTCTCACAAAAATCTCTATGGCTCAAAATTGCATAAGGTTTGATCAGCTCAAGACACTTCCTAAACACTGGCTCAAATTAAGGTTTGGGTTTGGACAAGTACAATTGGAATTTTAATGCCCCATATAGTTTCCATGGATCATATTGGGCTCTCAAGCATCAGGTCGAAGATGGAACTTCTGAATCCTCGAAAGGAGGAAAAGGAAACTGTCGAAAGGGCAAAGCAGATCGAAAGGTGTGCAGCTGCAGATAATAGTTTGAATTCAAAATCTGGTTCAGGCTGTTTGAACCACATGACTGATTGAAAAGGAGTGGTGTATAGATTTTGACAAATCGAAGAAGAGCAAGCTTGCTTCGATCCACAAACTTTGATTGGGCAATGGTTTCCTTTGAGCAACCTGCTTCGATTCACCTCTAAACCGACTTCAATCCACATACTAAACCCTTCGACACACATAGTTTCGACATTATGAATTACAAGTCTATCTTCATGCTTGCTTCGATCCACAAGCTTCGACCGGGCAATGGCTTCCTTCGAACAACTTGCTTCGATCCACATACTAAACCCTTCGACACACATAGTTTCGACACTATAAATTACAAGTCTATCTTCATGCTTGCTTCGATCCATAAGCTTCGACTGGGCAATGGCTTCCTTCGAACAACTTGCTTCGATCCACCTCTAAACCCTTTGACACACATAGTTTCTACACTATGAATTACAATTTGAGGTTTGGACATTTGAACTTTCGACCACTTAATCAACTGATGGTTACTGGTGGAAAAGTAATCTAGAAATTCTTTCATTTTGACTATGCCAATGAGATCATCTTGCATACTCAAAGTGGTACATTCAGATAAATATGGTCCATTTGAAGAACATACAATTGGTGGAAATAAATATTGTTTTGTCTATTGATGAGTTTGGTCAAAGGTTGTAAGTGGTCCATTCGAAGAACACATAATTGGTGGAAACAATATTGTTTTGTCTGTTGATGAGTTTGGTCGAAGGTTGTAAGAGGTACATTCGAAGAAGACATAATTGGTGGAAACAAATATTGTTTTGTCTGTTGATGAGTTTGGTCAAAGGGTGTAAGTGGTTCATTCGAAGAACACACAATTGGTGGAAACAACATTGTTTTGTCTGTTGATGAGTTTGGTTGAAGGTTGTGGATCTATGTGATCAAAACGAAAGGGTGAAGTATTCAAGATGCTTTCTGAACAAAGTCCTATATGCTGCCAAGTCCAAGCTTGTTGTACTATCCACATAACAGCCTAAAACTATGTTAAAAAGCAGTCTGTTGTACTGCTATGAAATAACACTGCACCAAGCTGCCACAACACTCCAAAACTGCTGCAAAATAGTCCTGTTATGCTGCTCTTAAACCAGTCCCATATTTGCACCAAACTAGCACATAAGAGTTGCACCTCGAAAGCTATGAAAATAGAATATCCAAACTGTTCAAATTTTATTTGTTTTTCTCCCTAAAACCTCAGCAAGACTCTTCTATAAATAAGTTGTTTCACAACACACAAAGGGGGATTTTGGGCAAGGGAAAGGAGAAGAAAAAAAGAGAGAGGAGAACATGAAGGCTAAAGCCTTAAAACACTCTTAAACCCAGACCAAAAAAATACAACACCTTTGTTCTTTTCTTTCGAACCTAGAACCAAAAAAAAACACAACACCTCTGTTCATTTCTTTCGAACCCAAGAATATTCAAGGCAACAACTCAAGTTCGAAACACACATTCCAACTTTAAGGTAAGTCTTCTTGACTTTAAACCCTTCTTTTCAAGTATCATTGATGATTCATCTCAAAGATAACATATAATAATCATTGTCTTCGAAGCTACCCTTTTGTTTGTTTTCCTTTCTTGTCAATTATATGTTAAGAATTAACATGTACAGACCATAAAACAATGTTGGAGTGAGAAATTACATCATGATTCGATACAGAGATTTAGAGTTCCACCCATACTGCTTTACAGGCCCAAACAGAAGGGAAAAAGGATGTGTGGTTCGACACACAACATTCTGCTTCAACTCATACTGAGTTCGATTTGGAATTACAGGGGCGAAAGAAGGAGACGTTCGGTGCATATAAGCATGCTTCGAAACATGCTTCGACCCATGTTCGAAAGATTTATTTTTTCCTCTATTTTGTGCTATTTTTTTACATATTTCACATATTTTCTCCATAGCTATTCAAAATGGTTTATAACAGATAATTAGGTTTAATTTCTTACAATCCCCATTCGTACATTTGTATCCCCCATCCCCCAAATGATGTAATAGCGTAGAACATTTATTCTCTGCAATTTTATCACTTTCATAAATGTTAGTAATTAGGGTGTATATGGAAAGATAAAAGAATCAAGCTTAGAAAAATCCTAATCTCAAAGATAAAAATGCATGCAATCAAACACACTTACACCTCTAGGGTTAACTCCACTTGTTGCCTTGAGAAAAATAGTCACGATGTGCATGTGAGTCATCTTAGCAAAAATAATCAAAATATAAGATCATAGTCCCTCGATGACGCTACGAATGTTGTCTTACAAATGATCTTAGTCCATTAAGAGAAATGCTAAGATATCTCACAATATTTCCATTCATGACTATACGATGACCCATGCTTGTCCTTTCACATCCAATGACGGGGCTTCTTACCAATCAATGGTAGGATAGCAACATCTAAAGGAGAAGGAAAAGAACAAAGACCTTTTGAGAAGGTAGGACGCTCGTAGTTGCTTGCTTGCAAACTAAAAATATTTCCACACTTACACTTTCAAAACATCTTCAAAAACAAACATCTCTTTGAACTATTTTTAAAACCAACACTCTGTATAAATTCTTATAGAGACGAGAATCATTATAAAGTTTGCCGCAACAAAGGCGTTTTCAAAATACTTTCAAAAAACCATCACAAAACACATTTTCAAACAAATCATTTTCAAGTGATCTAGCAAGCAACTAAGAGCCCGTAGATAACTACAGATGAAAGGGGTGTTAACACCTTCTCTTTTCATAACCTACCCCCCGAACTCAAGAAAATATCTCAAAGGTCTTTCCTGTTCTTTTCACCCTTTCCTTATTGGATAAAAGAAAAGTCAGTGGCGACTCTTGCTATCCGTAATAATTGTGATAAAACACAAAACACCCAAGTCAGTTCTCCCACCGTATCACAAAACTGGCGACTCTGCTGGGGAATGTTTAAAAGTGGGGTTACCTTAGAGCTAGATCACCTTTAAAATGATTTCCTTGTTTGGGTTTTTGATCCTACACCCGGATCTGGGGCACCTTTTAGGTAAGTAGCAATAGATCGTGGAGATTGTGCAGGGTATACCTACATGGTTGAAGCGATAGCTACGTTAGTGTGACACATTTGTTGGTATCGGTAGCCCTTGAGTTTAGTCAAGGAGAATACGGGGCCGCTGTGTGGTGTCATGAAGCACTAACTGTCCTTAGAACCTTTAAATAAACAACTTGGCCATTAGGAAGTGGTGAGATAGCCGGCTTTGGTGCAGTCTGAAGTTGGTTGATACTCGATACTACGCTCATTGAGATTGGACTTTTGGGATATTTCGATCGCCAATAAATAGGCTTGCGCTGAAACAATGCCCGATGAAGAAAGATCAGTGATATTGAGATTCCATAGAACCCGATTACTTTCTAGGACAAGTTAAACCAACTAAGCTTCAAAATGGTACTTACCTATGACTCAATGCAAGCCTAAACCTAAGGACTTGTCTGATTTGTGTGTATATGATTATTTGTACATAATAACTTGTTTGCTTTGTGTGTATATGTTTACTTGTACATAACATCATGACATCATACTATATCATTTCCTCTGACCATTTCAAGGATCTCAAAGGGCCTGTGATGCAGGGTCATGATGAACCAAACATTTATTAAAGGGCAAGAGGATTTATTCTCCTCTAACCAAACACTCTCAAAGACCAAAGCACGGTAACTTGAGTCAAGGGCTATGACCCACTCGACATGGTGAGCTTGATTCTCGTAGAATGATATTAAAAAATACGAAGTTCTTCAATCAAAGTTGTAATAAAAGTTCAACTTCTGACATTTTCTTGTGTATACCCTGCGAGATCCTTGAAAACATCGCATTCACATATCATGCATGTCATCATAACAGGTTTTCCCCATACAGGTTTCTCATCTGCTTACTGTTTATTTCATTAGAGATGGCTCTCGAAAAAAATTAAGGATCTTCAAGCACAAAATGCTCAATTCCAGCAGATGTTCCTGGCTCTGGATAAGGGACAAGAGGACCTGGAGGCTCTCATTCTCAAATACAAGAAGAAAAACACAAAGAAACCAGTGGGTTTCCTAAATATGGGAAGGAGACTCAGAGGACCAGCAAAGCGAGCTCTAGAATTCGTAACTCCATCAAATAAGGGAGACAATCAGGAAGATAAGACACAAGAAGAAGACCATGGTCTGGGGTCTAATGAAGAAGAGGTTGACTACGCTGAAGAACAATATCCTCTTGCTGATGAAAAATATAAACAACTGGAGGATCGTCTCAACGCCATGGAAATTTAGAGAGTATTTGGTCTGGATTTTGAAGAATTAGGTTTGATTTCTGGAGTGGTCATTCTGCCAAAGTTCAAGGTGCCCTCATTTTCTAAATATGACGGGGTTTCATGTCCTAAGCTGCATCTAAGGTCTTATGTCAAGAAGATCCAACCTCATACCGCTGATAGGAATTTGTGGGTGCACTTCTTCAAGGAAAGTTTAT